TTTGAGGCCGGTTCGGGCGAATTTGACGGGAAAATTTCCGAGGGTGTTGACGCGCGTGGTGTTTTAAACGGGGGAAGTTTTGGTCGGCGAGAAATTATTGAATCGTGGAGTGACGATGTAGAAGTGCGTAACAATATTAATTTTTGCCCTACAGTTGATGAAGCGAATTCCAGTGGACGTCGCTATGGGCGTCGAGTCGTGGATTTTGGGAGCGATAGTGATGATTCGAATCAAGCTCCTTTGGCGAGTGATCATGCGGTGCCAAGTAGTGAAGTTGAGCTGACGGATGAAGAGGAGGAGGAAGATGATATTCCGCCGTGTGATGTTGAGGTTGACACGAGGAGGCAAAAGAAAATTAAGCCAACTAATTTGTACTTAGTTAATTTTGATAGTGTGTTGACGGAAGAGCATCTGCGCTCTATTCGTCGTTTATCTGGGGCGCCGAGTAATGTTGAGTTGTTGTTACCTCAGAAGGGCGACCGCTTGTATTCGCCACCCGATGGGTTTCATACGGTATTTTTGGGGTACTTGACATGTACTTCTCAGATTACACCGCATCCTACCTTGTTGAAGGTTTGCGAGGAATTCAAGATTGGGTACAGTCAGCTAACGCCCACTGCTGTTCTGATGTTCCAGGCCTTTCATTTTAGGGTGGTTCGAGTAGGTCTGCCTGTGTCTGTGAGTTTATTCAAGGCGTTATTTACGTTACATCGGCCCACTAAGATGCCTTTCTTTTGCTTTCATCCTCGCGTTCATTACCAATTCGTGAAGAGTGTGAAGCTATCTTTGGGGAAATGGAAGACCTATTTTTTTTACGTGAGGGCTCCCACTTTTGACGTTCCCGTAGTTTGGAATCCTACGTGTGAGAGTTTCGCGATAACTGCAAATATGGCGAAGAGGATTGAGGAATCTGGGTTGTGCGATGTGGAATTTGATCCGAGGAGTTTGATACCGACGGTGGAGGGTCAGCATCGTGTATCCTTTTGTTGCCTTGAATTTTTTTTTTTTTTTTTTTTTTTTTTATAGTTCTGTGGTCATGTATACCTCATGTTTCTTATGTGTTTGTTATCTTTTGTAGATGGTGGTATCACCTTTGCGGCACTTCGAGCGAAAGCGAATGGGACGTCGAAGAAGGCATCGAAGAAGGTTCCCTCTAAGTTGGGAGGTTCTTCGAATGGTTTGCCTCGCGAGGAGGTTCATGTAGAAAGTTCTCGAGTAGTAGCAGATGATCGTAGCAGTGCTGGCGTAGTGGAAGAGCGTCCACCGAAGAGGGATCGTGGCAAGGGAAAGAGGGTGGATACTGAGTATGTGGCTGTGCCTAAGCGTCCACGGGTAGATCCGGAGGGAGACTTATGCTTTCCATGGTGGAGGAGGGGAAACAATTGTTTACCTATGGTGTGAATCGCGACGGTAAGGAGTCGTATTGGGGATGTGTCGGACCATGATTTGCCCTTGTTGAGTACCGAGGGGATTTGTTCGTGAGTATGATCGTGCTCGGATGTCTGGTAAGGGTCCTTCTCACATGTTGGAGTTAGCCGGTGGGGACATCTGTCGGGTGAGTCTTTGTTTACTTAAAACAAGATTAGACGTTACTCCCTCTCTTCCTTGTGTAAATTTTTTTTTTTTTTTTTTTTTTTTTTTTTTTTTTTTTAGTTGGGAGCGACTTGGAGATACCTCGGGGAGCACGGTAGGAATGCGGAAGCTAGTAAGGAAGAGGATCGGGCTCGAAGTCAAGCACGTGAGGATGAGCTTCTAAGTCAGTTGAGGAAGCGCGGTCCGATCTCGCTCTACGCTCTGAAGAGCTTGCTCGGAGGACAGAGGAGCTTGCTGAGAGGACGGAGGAGCTCGAGGTTATCCGGGGTGATGCGAAGGCTTATAAAGATGATGTTTATAAGTTGAACGAATGCTACGATCAGCTCAAAGAGAAATATGAAGCTGAGAAGGCGACGGGGAAGAGGTTCCTCGCGACATCAGGTGGTGCGGCTTATAAGGAGTCCATTGTGGAGGAGACTAAAGCTAGTTTCCGAGGTAGTGATGAGTGTGCTGCTATGATTGAGGAGCACGCATTGGCTGTGGTTTATAAGCCATTAGTGCGTGCTTGTCGCAAATATCTGCGTGATGCGGGTGGTATCAGCGAGGAAGTGATTCGTGGAATGGAAGCTGGCATATCCGATGAGGAGGAGGATGAAGTAGATGTTAATGGGACGGGCACAGAGGTCGTGAACGACATGGTTGCGGATGACTCCACCGTGGGTACGTCGTCCGCTCGCGGTAGGGGAGCTTAGACTTAGTTGCTAGGATAGTTATCCTTCTCCCCCCTTTATTTTTATCACTATTATGTTCTTTTTTTTTTTTTTTTATGGATTTCTTAGTTTGTTTTTATCGCTGATGTAGATGGGTATGTCCCCTACTCTTTCATTTGATTTTCTGCCTTGTTTGACTTTGAAATTTAATATTTCGATTTATTTATTTTGACATTGTCAAGAATTATTGCGTTGCTTATATGTATTTACACTTAGCATTGTACGCGATGTACTTGGGGAGGGGATCAGTCTCCCAAGGTTTTTGTTAAGGGTCGTGCCCTTTGTTCGGACCGCTTGGGTCTTAAATATATTTGTCCGTGGCCACGTTTTAAAATGAACACCTCGTTAAACAAGTGAAGGGACTTAGATAATCCAGCTGGCCAGGCTATATGGATTTTCTAAGTCTCTCTAAGTGTTTGCAAGGTTGTTTTGAATTTGACTCTTGGCAAGAGGTAACTCGTGTAGATGTGATAGCACAAAGAGTAAAGCAAAAAGAGTTGATTTATTCAATGATAGCAAAGTTGCGTTGTTACAAGCCTATATGAGGCGAATGTGAATAAATAGCTAATGGGATATGCCTACGTGAGGCGAAGGTAAATAAATGCTGC